TGGGAATGGTTTTTAGGATAATATACACCCCTAATTCCAAGTCAAATAATTATTCTTGAAATCTAGTTTGATCCAAACTAGTATCAAACAATAAAACGTTTGCCATCCTAGAACCGGTTTCTATGTTTTTAGGTGTATGTTCACTGTCTTGGTCGGGACCGGGCTTACCGTCGATTCTGGACGTTTGATACTCTTCCGGGGATATTTGTGGAGAACGATGATGATAATGTAAGTAATTCTTCAAGAAAATACACTTTTATATTATTTATTTTCAACAAAAATGATTTTTTTCTTCATTAGTAAGTTTGCAAACAATCCGATTTATTTGGGTGGTATGATTTAATATTGATGAGGGTACCCGAGGCATAATGATAAATAATACGTCCTCAATGGTTAGATATTTGCGGCTTATTATAATTGTTATTAATTCTAGATTGTACTGTAAGTGTACTGCAGTTTAAACCCCGTGTTTGTACATGTACGTCTTGAATCATGAATCTGATCAAAACGGTTATCAAAAAAAGTTGTGATATATAAAATGTAACTCAAAAATTCTAGATTGGTCCCTGTCTTGAGACCCCCACTCCTTGGAACCCTCTTGCTGGACCTATTACTGAAGAAGAAGCTGCTGAAAAAGCCCGCGAAATCTTGGTAACATTTATTTTTAGAACTTTTTTCAGAATTAAGTTAAAATGTCTTCTTTGTAGGGGGGGGGGGGGGTCTTTGTTTGAGACAAAATTTTGTCGATTATCAATTGTTATTCCTGAATCTGAGATCACAGGATTTGCTACATTTAAGATTACAGTAGTGAATAGTATAAATCTCAAAGATCAATATCTGGAGGAGCTAAACCTTGAAGATTTATTCAATAAATCTTTAGTCTTATTTCCTCCAAACAGTTTTAGAATTTTTAAAAAATATCAATTTTTATTATTACCAGAAATATGCCAAAAAATTCCGGCAATATAATTTTAACTCAAGCCTCTTTTATTTGCCCATTCATGTTTGGGACATTTCAGAATTATGGTCAGACTTGTTAAGTCTTTTTTGTGAATATTCGTAACTAATTTTGAAAATGGATGCTTTTTCCCGAATTTAGGGTTTCGAAGACATGACAAATAAAGTCCAAAGTAATATTTTTCACTTTATATCTTCTCAAACTTTGTATTTGTGTAGGATGGATAACATGCTGGAGGGACAGAAGGAACTAAGAGAAGCCCAGTTGGCGGAGAACAAGAGGATGAAGGAGGTCATGGCAGAAGAGAAGAGGGAGAGGAAGGAGGAGATGATCAAGAAGAAAGGAGAAACTCTCAAGGATGCAATTAACAAAAATAGCGAGGTTTGTTAACCTTTAAAGAATTCTTTATAATTATTATATCAGATGTCAAAATTAATTAAAATTAGATCCGGGCTGAAAACCAATTGCACAATCGGGAATTGAACCTCCACGCTGGTTAATGGAGCCTAAAGCTTTCTCTAAAATTCAGGATGGGATGGGATGGGATGGGATGGGATGGGATGGGATGGGATGGGATGGGATGGGATGGGATGGGATGGGATGGGATGGGATGGGATGGGAAATAATCACTGATTTTTCAACAGTTATTTTTTAACGTTTTTTGGTCGATTTTTTGCTCCTTGGATCCATGATCGTATATTAGTTTCGCACACTTTTTCTTAACTAAAATTGATTAATGTTTAGGAGAAGAAGGAAGTGCTAACTGAAAGACAGAAGGAAGGAATGAGGCTGGAAGAGGAGAAGAAGGAGAAGGAGAAGATGCTGAAAGAAGAATTGAAAAGAGCTGAGTTTCAAGAAGTAGAGCGACGGCTTCAAGACGCCATTATTAATTATCAGAACCAGGTAGAGAACCCTGGAATACCAATCTTCCAAGGGTAAATCATTAAATCATATTGGATGTGGAGGAGTTATTTTAATGATAGGGGG